GGGGGGGGGCCGGGGGGGGGGGAGCCGGGCAGGGACCGGGGCGGGATGCTGATCGTGGGGTGCCCGGGGCTGAGAGGCGGCAGCGGGGTGGAGGGTCGGGGAGGTTGGGGCCTGTGGCGGGACCGGGGCCGGGCAGTGAATCCAGCGGGCGAGGGGCTGGGGAAGCCGGGGCTGAGCCCCACAGGGGTGAGGAGGTGCTGCCATCCCGGCTGCGGCAGGGCAGAGGGGGGGTGTGGGGGGCACTGCCAGCTCAGGGCGCAGCGGGCTCGCCCCGCCTGGCCCCAGTGCTCAGCCTCTGTAGGTCAGGTCCCCTCTGTGGTGTGTGGTGGCCCAACGGCAGAATGTCTCTTTTTCTGTCCCAGGAGACCCCAAGGTGCCGGTGCTGTACGAGGTGGAGCGGACCCGTACGGGGAAGAGCTTCTCTGTCCGTTCCGTAAAGGCCATCCAGCACGGAAAGCCAATCTTCACCTGCCAGGCCTCCTTCCAGCTCTCCCAGGGGAGCCCAGTGCAGCACCAGTTCACCATGCCTACTGTGCCACCCCCTGAGGAGCTGCTGACGCAAGAGGAGCTTATCCAGAAGTTTCTGCAGTAAGTGGGATGGAAGGGGCATGCCAGGGACGCCCTCATCTGTGGCTGGGGCTTAGGGAGGCACAGGGATTGGGGTGACTGCCTGAGGAATCCCCAAATACACCTGGGAAAGGAGTAGAGAAAGAAGCAGGACAGGGCAAGGCAGGAGCCGTGCCCCTCCTGCCTTTCCGTGTAGCCCTGGGTCCCTGGGCTGAAGCTGCTGCCACCAGGACGTGCCCCTGGCCTGCCTGGCATTAACCTCACTTCTCTGTGTTGGTCTACAGGAATCCTAACTTGGCGGAGAGATACAGAAAGCATCTCAACAAGATTCAAGCCGAAGATGTGCCGATTGATATCAAACCCGTAAACCCACCAGACATATTCTGCTTGGAGCCGCAAGAGCCAAAGCAGCTCTTCTGGGTGCGAGCACGAGGCTACATAGGTGGGTCCCACCAGGAGGGTGGTCCAGCTGCCTCACAAGCCGAGGGCTCGGGCTCAAGCTCGCCCTGTGGAGCACGCTCACGACGGAGTGGGCCGAGAGGGTTGCAATTCAGAGGCTGCCTGCGCCCAAAGTCTGCAGGAAAGCCTGGGAATTTTGAGGCTGAAACACAGATGTGGGTGCTGGAGCATGAAGCGATGCCTGTGTGCCGTGCTCAGCCACGGCAGGCTTTCCCCGAGGGGGAACAGCAAGGGGAGTGGGTCTGAAAGAGCATCTCAGCTCTGCTTGGCCGGCAGCTGACCCTCAGGGAAGCAGAGCTCCCGGGGCTTTGCCTCACACTATGTGCCCAGGCTTGTCCCATGGGCACCCTGCGGGAGACGGGCAGTGCCGGTTGCTTTGCAGGAGAGACTGACATGAAGGTGCACTGCTGCGTGGCTGCCTACATCTCCGACTATGCCTTCCTGGGCACGGCTCTGCTTCCGCACCGGCAGTACCACATCAAGTTCTTGGTGTCCCTCGACCATTCCATGTGGTTCCACGCGCCCTTCCGAGCAGACCACTGGATGCTGTATGAGTGCGAGAGCCCCTGGGCTGGTGAGTCCTCACCATGTTCCCCAGGGACCCATGTGGCAAAAGCCAGCTCTGCCCGTCCCGGGGGGGGCGGTGGGCCAGGGTCTGACAGGCTCTCTCTGCAGGTGGGTGCCGGGGACTGGTGCAGGGACGGCTGTGGCGCCGGGATGGGGTCCTGGCTGTCACCTGTGCGCAGGAGGGAGTCATCAGGGTGGAGCAAAAGCCAAACCAGAGCAAGCTCTAGCTGAGGAGCCCCCGTGGGCTGGGGCTTGGGCACGCCGAGGAGGAACCCCGGGACCAAAACAGATGCGGGCAAGGCGGGACCTGGGCGGCAGCGGGAAGAAGCGTCGAAGGAGACCGGGCTGGATCCAGCACTGTGGGGAGTGCTGGTGCCAGAGGCCCTCTGTGGCGAATGGGGACCCACAGAGGCATCTGCTGCGACTGACTGCCAGCTGCACAGCACGTAACCTAACACACGACGATCAGCCACCCTTCACCTGCCTTAAATAAAGCCGTCAGGTGAACAGCTGGGCTCCGTCCCCTGGAGTTTGTCCCCTTGGTCCCCGTGGTTGTGCTCACCCAAGGGAGCCTCTCCTGGCAGGGGGAGGGTGGGCAGCGCCAGGGGCACGGGGGGGGCTCTGCCTCCACAGCAGGCTGGGTCGCAGGAAGGGAAAATGCTACCATGGCACATGGCTTCCCCTTCTCACTTCTCCTGCCCTCCTTGTGCCCCGGCGCTTGTCAGTTGCTGCTTCTGCTCGCCCTCGGTCTCTTTCCCAGGGCCGGAATTGGGAGAGGGCCCAGCCCCCGGGAGCCAGGGAAAGGGGAGGAGGCAGCTCACACCTCAGGGTGGGGGGCTCGACGCTTCCTGCCGATGGTGCCCTGGGGGAAGTGAAGCTGAAGAGACACAGCAGGTGCCCTGCTCTTCTTCCCACCAAGACTTTATTAAATAAAGTCCTTTTTGTTACATAGGTTTTACGGGAAGCTCCTGGCAAGACCCCTGGACCCTGCCAGAAGCCTTCCCTTAATGCAGTGCCAGTATATCCCAGCTAAAGTCCCGTCCACTCTAGAAGCCCCCCGCAGAGGGGGAGCTGGCTGCCAGCCGTGCCGGTGCGGGTGGCGAGTACCAGTGAGCGCCCAGCCCCACGGGACAGACTAACCACAGAGAAAGTGCATTTTCGAGGCAGCTCCCAGGCGTGTGCTGTGCTGCCTGCGGGAGCACAGCGCTGCCTCCCTGCCCCATCCCCAACCACGGCATCACCCTCGCTGCTCCCAGCCGCCCCGGGGCACGAGCCCCACGTGGCGCCTTGCCCTCCTGCCAGCGCGGGCGGCAGCGGTGGGACGACGCTTACTCCAGAGGCTCCTTGATCAGGCACTCCTTCAGGGTGGGCTGCTGCTGCAGGGGCGGCCCGGCCTCCCGCAGGTCCTGCAGCCGGGCCTCCGAGTGCCGCTTGTCCTTGCCCACCTTCCAGGCCAGGTGGACGTGGGCCTGCAGGAAGGGCCCCAGCAGTGGGTGGCTGCCTTGGGCCTCCAGCAGCTGCAGCGCCTGCTCGCAGAAGCCGTGGGCCTCGCAGAGCTCGTCCAGCTCCTGGTGGCAGACGGCCAGCCCGGCCAGCGTCAGGAGGAAGCGGCCGGAGCCGCAGACCCCCAGCCGGTCCTGCAGCCGGTAGGCGTTGGCCCAGGTGGCCAGGGCTTCGCGGTACATGCCGGTGCAGGTCAGGCGCTGCGCAGCCTGCAGGTCCTGCAGGAAGAAGAACTCGAGGAACTCGGGGGAGCGGCGGATCTCGGCGATGGAGTGCAGGTGGGACAGGAACTGCTCGAAGGCTCGGCTCCGCTTGGCGATGGTCTCGGCGGTGAAGTTCCGGCGCAGCCTCTTCCTGGGGAAGGCGATGCCGGCCATGTCACAGCTGAAGCGGCAGCGCAAGCGGCGGTTCAGCCGCTCAAAGTCTGAATAGCGCCGGGCGATGGCGGCGGGGGCCTTGTCGAACCGGCCGGAGCGGATCAGGTAGATGGTGTAGAGCTGTGGGGGAGCCAGGCGTCAGGGCGGTGCCGCGGGCACGCTGCTCCCGCGGGGCCGGGCAGAGCCGGGTGTGCAGCCGCAGAGGGGCCACGGGGGGCTTTGCCCAGGCACGGGGGGAGCACGCTGGGCTGCCACAGCACCCGTCGGCGATAGTTACCTGAGGCTCATCTGAGCCGCCAGCACCGTCCGAGCAGCACGGGGAAAGACAGAGAGAAATAAGCGCCAGCCCCGTGGGACCTCTGCCCCAGGATGAAGCAGGACCCGCGCCCACCCCTGTGCCCATTCTGTGTCCACCCAGCCCCGCCGGGCTCACTCACCACGTACTTGGAGGCGCGCTCGCTGACCACGCTGGCGCTGGTGACCTCGAAGAGCAGCCGCTGGGGCACGAGGCTGCCCCGCGATTTCTTCCACAGCTCCTGCAGCTGCCGGGTCAGCAGGCTGCCGCCGGGGCGCTCCGCTGTGGGGCCCCACTCTGCACCGGGAGAGGGGTGTCAGCCCACCCGTCGTGGGGATGGGGCTCTGCCAGCGCCCCGACGTCTCCGGGCCGCCAGCCCCCACCATCGCTTGGGTCCCCCCCAGGGTGCTGCTGCCCCGGCCGCCCAGGCCCCTCCCATCACACCGGCCCCAGCACCTGCCTCCGTCCTCTGCACCCGCTGCCGTGCCGGTCGGCTGCGGTGGCTCCCCCAGCTCGTCTCCAGCACCATCCTCCTCCTCCTCCTCCTCCTCCTCGTGGCTGGTGAAGCTCAGGGTGCCGCTGAGGCGCGTCGACAGCCCCTCCGTGTCGTCCTCCAGCTCCGAGCTCTCCGGGAAGTCCTCGGCCTCGGAGCCGCCGCACGCCCGCTCCTCCCGGCCACCTTCGCCGGCCAGCGCGTGCCGCAGGCGGTGCAGGATGCGGGCGGCCATCCCGTCCGGCCCAGCTGCCGAAGCGAGGGGTCAGGCCCGGTTGCCCCAGCGCGGCGG